ACCCATGATTGTGGTTTTGAGTAATGAACCAGGCTGGGAGTTTTTAAAAGTCTCAGGAATCTTTTGCAGGTGTTTAGAGTTAATTCGTTGATTCAGATAATTAGGTTAATAAGTCGTTTAGAGAACCTTTTCATGATAAGTAAATTTTTTGAGATAGAGATTTTTGGTTTTTCTTTACTTTTTTGCCAAAATCAACAATTTTAAAACAATAAAAAGCTTGAACTACTTCAGTTGGTGTGCAATGAATCTAAAATATACGAAAGTTTAATGTTTATCAGTACATTACAGAAAATAATGAATAATGCTAATTTTTTGAGAAGGACCTGTATTTACAACCTTTTTTTAAACTTAGGTTAGTTAAAGAAAAAACATGGTACACTTAATAATATATGGATGGTATAAAGTATTTGTGCACAAAAAATACTTTTGTCTAATAACTTGAAAAGGTAGATTTTTGTAGATTAACTGTTTCAACACCGGTGCCCTCACCTCAGGGATCCATAAGGCACAGCTKACGTGGACCCACTTGGTTCCACTGCGGGTGGGCTTCAGGGCRCCCCCCCTCTTGGGACAGAGCAGACATTTTGGCTGAACTCCCAGTGCGCAGGTCCGACAGAGCCAGTTCCCCTGAGGCACCTTCAGGATGCCGTAACAAGCCTGYGAGAGAAATAAAAACACAACTATACTTTATACAAGAAAGGAATATAAACTGGAATATAAAAAAATAATAATAAAAAACACATCCTGGAGGTACATCTGTGAACCAAACTGCATCACAGAATAAAAACATGCAWTCAGATGATAATCCAGAGAAACTCAGTTTTATGTAAGATTTCTTTTAAATATTGAAAACAATGGATGGAGATATTACTTGTTTCCCCATGAAAAAGAACAGCAGCTCATTTATTTTGTAACAGTGAGGCAAGACATATATTTTTAGGTGAAATACACAAACACTTAAAAAAAACTGACCCTTGAGTTGTTGTAAGTTTGGGAACAGGTTTGTTTCTGAATTTTCTACACATTTTTCACAAATGTTTTAAAATTACTGCACACACTTTTTTATWTTCAGTTTTTCCATATATACCTGCAGAATTTGCAAAAAAAATCTTTCTGTAAGCTTTTTAATAACATACACCAATTTTATCACTTTATTTATAATGTACAGAAGAGAAAACAGTATTTTACAGTATATTTACAAATCAGCAAAAAAATGTATTTTTAGTTGGTTTTAATTTCATTTTCTTTCTGTAACTCTTGCAATAAACACCAGAAATCATAAAACCGAGGAAAAAAATAAAGAAGTTCTGAGTTTTAAACATCCATCACTACTTTTTGTTTATTCAATTGATGATTTCATCTTTTAAATTATTTGCATCTTGTGTTTGAGAAGCAGAAGCTGGGAGAAGGTAACAGATTTTTTGAAAATAATCAATACGTTATTTCGACAGGTGGTAATGAAAACCACATGTATTTAAAAAACCTTGAATATCTGCGTTTTTATGTTTCTGTTTTAACAAGATTTGTTTCTAGATGCTTCAGATGTGTTTGTTTCCACGTGTCAGATTTTTTATTGACAGCCTGAGATGTTTGTCGGATGTTGGACAGCTGAATCTCGATTCTGACCCTGATTTTKAAATTTGCATCTATCTGTTCAGTCGTGTTTGTCACGCACCGACGTTTGGTCAGCAGAGGGATGAGTTTTGTTTACCTGATGGACGCAGACGTTGCATTTGTCACAGAAGACCATCTCGTTGCCGTCCTCGCCCTCCGGCGAGCGGCAGACGTCGCACACCACGTCCTCGTCGTACTCGATGCCCAGGCCCTCCTCTGTCTCGATGGCCTGCTGCATCTTCTCTTCGCACACGCTCTCCAGCTCCACCAGAACGCACTCCATCGTCAGCTCGTCCAGCTCTGGTAAGGCTGGTGGCGAGAAAACAAAAGTACAGAAACGGGTTGTTAACCGAACGTTTCAGCATGTTAGATCAAAATAACCCACAAAAAAAAAGAAAAAGACTTTTTGATCCAACATGGTGGTGAAGTGGTTAAAGTGGTCGCCACAGAAAGAAGGTTGCAAGTTTGCCTCCTGGTCCTGCTGATACCAGGGATCATCAATTCTGGTCCTGGAGGTCTGCAGCCCTGCATGTTTTACTCGTTTCTCTCCTCCAACACACCTGATATGAATGAATAGATGATTATCAGGCTTCTGCAGAACTTGAAGAGGTAATTCACTGACTGAATCAGGTGTGTTAGAGAAGGGAAAACAGTAAAACATGCAGGGCTGCGGACCTCGAGGACCATAAGGGATGATCCCTGTAATAGACCAGTTGTTTTTATCCATATCTAACTACAGCAGAAACATTCTTAGCAGTCAGTTTTAAACTTAATTTAATTTCTAGAAATCCTCTAATTACCCAAATGCTGTCGATGAAACCTTAAAGTACCTGTGACACCAATTTGTTGTAAGACAAGTGAACGCACTTTTGGAAAGGCAACATTATTAACATATTACAAAACAAATTTCACATCGCTCTGATGGACAATTGTTGAGATATTTGCATGTGAAATAACAGGAAGTGATGTCTAAGGGGAATATCTGCATGTGAATATTTGAAAAAGTACTTTTACCAATTATTTTAATATTTGAAATAAATTACAATCATCCTATGTACAATGTGTTAACATTTTTAAGACTTCTGAAGGATTGATTTAAGACATTTTAAGGCTAATTAAGGCCTTATTTTTGGATTGCTGAATTCAATGACTTTTAAGACTTTTTAAGGATCTGCAGGAACCCTGTACTTATGTGTGAGCCTGGATATTGTTGTTTGTCTCATTTGTCTCTATGTGTCCCTGTGATGGACTTGTCCATGACTGCGGGAGATCACCACCAGATCMCCGACACACGGGAAGAAGGTTTTTAAGAAACTGACGGGTGAATTTCAACGCAAATTTGGGCCTAACATAAGTGGCTTGACTAACCAGTAATTTAGTCTCTACTCACTCATATCTTATCTTCTTTAAATCTCTAACCAGAAACATTTCAACGGAAGCTGAAGTCATGAGAATAACGCTGGCAAGGAGGGAGAGATATAACGAAGAGTAAAGTTTCAGTGTCAACACTGAGGATTTCCTTTTGGTTTTGGTTATCTACAGGGATAACAGAAACAGGAAACTGCTCGGMTGAAAGCTGAAAGAAGCAAGACAATTTACACATTTACCAAGTTATTCTTGGCCAAAACACCTCGTCTCGCTCTTTAATTGGAAACGCACACAGATTTCCTTTGCCTGTTTATCTCACAAGGTCAACGACTGTTCCTTTTGGGGGCCTTCAGGAGATTTCCGTTGGAAATCAKCCACGTGTGAGTTAACCCATTCTGCACCGGAGTGAAGTACAGAAACGCTTCGCGAGCTCGTTGGTCATTAAGACAAAAATGACTAATTTCAGTCCCCCACAGCTCAGTTCACCCCGCCAGCTTGTGTTGACATTAGCATTTGTATTCATGCTCCATTTGCATCTCAAAGTAGTGCCTTGCTCTAAGGCTGGTTAATAGTTGATGATCTCACAGGCAAACGTGAGCTTTCAACCTCATAAAATATAAAAAGCATCTGAGACACGAAGAAAGTGAACAGTTCCAGGATGGTGGCAAACGGATGTGAATTATTGCTTTTCTTAGCTCCAATACAGAGTATTATTATAAGGAAATTATTGTTTTTGTCTAAAGTTAACTGCTGAAATAGAAAATTAAAACTAATACTCCTTAAAGAAATGCATATCTCAGCTACAACCACAGCAAACTTCAGGTCAAAATCTGCTAAATTAACAGAGTTACAGCTATTTTTGTTTGCCAAGGCTGATTTCATTCAAATATAGCCATTGGTTATATTGCAGATATTTTGCTAACAGACAAGAAAATGCAGGTGAATCATCTACAAGGAATAACAGTAGATTATATTTCTTATGTTGCACCCATTTCAGGGAAGTGAAGGCGTAATGTCATCATTTTATTTAGCCACAGATTTGAAATAAAAACAGATTTTAAGTCTCTAAACTGGTGTAAATGGTTGTGTAAGCCTCCATCACTGGCTGATTTTCAAGATAAACAAAACATGGACATAAAGCTGTTGCTTTTTAAAAGGAGTATTTATGTGGAGCCTTTCACACCCAATAATAAATTTCTTACAGATAAACACTTTACAGTTTGTGTCACTCTTCTCAGCGTTTTTTTCACTGAGGAGCAATAAAACTAAATCTGTAGTTTTGGATTGTTTATTGATTTATGTGAAGGATTTGGTCCTCAGCTGGGACGTTTTATTTATTTATTTTTTTTAAGTGAAACTGAGCATCCTGTATCTCCATCGAATATTTATATCATCCAATCATTTCCCACCACCTAAAAAAAACCCAAAAAACTTTATTTACTATTTCTCGAGCATCTCGTAGCCAGCAGGGTTCAACCCAAACTAAACTTTCACATGCTTCAGCTCAGCGTCACAGGGAAAAAAATTTAAGCACGTCAGGTTTAATAATGCAGGAAAAAAACAGAGAAAGTATTTTTTTTTTTAACTCAGACACAGGGGTTGAATCTGGACGTGAGCGCAGACACTGACAGGAACTAAAACTGAGTTTATTGCAAATTTGAAGAAGATGATAAAGCAGCCAGGCAGGAAAAAAGGGAAATGGTTCGATATTAGTGACATTTATTTACATCCTGAGCTGAAATCATGGTGAAAGGAAGGAAACAACACATATACATTATGGCCAAGTGTGTATGTGTGTTAACAAAATATCTCAGGAACCACTGGATGGATCTTATTCAAACCATAGAAGATTAGCTGCAACTGTCACTGTTAATCAAAATTAAACACATTGATGATTATAGCTTTGTCAGTTTTTCAGAAATTGGGCTAAAATTTGAGGTGGTTGTAGCTGGAAGTCCTTCTCAAAACATTTCTCATCAACATACCTCTAACACTACTGACAGACTGTTTCCAGTGTTTCTTTAATCATGTTTTTTTCTGCAGGAAACTAGTTTCCTATAAGCTTAACAATAGGAAAATCCTAAATTAAACAACACACCTTGGCCCAGACTCCATATTTTCTTTCAAAGAACACACTCTGTTCACTTTTACATCCACCTACGGAAAAAGTGTCAGACTTAGACAGAAAAAACAGAATCATCCTATTAAAAGTGTTCAGCCCAGTCCAGCAGAACTGATCAAATCACCCGTTTGTTTGGTCTTTTGTTGAAGGCTATGACAAACGACTCACTTTAGCTCCAAGAAAAGCAGATCTGTGTGTGTGTGTGTTTGATTTAAGGAGGATGTGTAGCACAAATAAGGCCTGAAAGCCCAGCAGGGATTCATAAACACAATTACTATGGTTCATCTGTGAAGGGGCTGATCACATACAGAATCAACTGGTGGAGATGAGAGAGAAGCTTGGGGTCAGCAGTTGTCACATTGGCAAAATAAAGAGAGTATATATA